TGCTCTATCTATCCCATTCCACAAGGCACTAAGTGGGATAAACTACTGCTAGAGAAAGCATAGGCCCTTCTCTTTTACCAAGAAGCAAGAAAAATCCCTCACTATGTATGAACACATTTAGTGTAATCCGTGTGAAAAAAGTTCCCATATAAAGAATTAGAATGTGTTTAAAATTGACATCTGCAAGTGCTCATATAGACACACCTCTGTGACCATTAATCCCTTGACTTCTGTAACCTCTGCATTAAATCAATATCATCACCTGTTATTTTTCTGTGTAACACTTTTAATGCTAATATCTTCTTCATGAAATATGAGAGAGGAAACAGGATTATAAATAAGCAGTTCTCCATTCTCATTTCCAATCCTAATGTATCTGCTTTTAACTGCTTACCTAAAACCTCAAGGTAACATCTACTACTGAAAATAAAAATACATGAAGTCTGAATCTACAATCTGTGAGTAGTAGAGTTACTAGGGAGAAGTAAGGCCTTCAGGTTTACACCTTGCTGGTGTAATCAAGGGCTTTACTGAGTGAAAGATGTGGCAACCATTCAAAATATTTTTGAAATGGTCTTTGAGATCTCCATCTCATTCCTAACAAAACCAGAATATATCACATTACCTCTGCATTCACCCTGCACTGACATGGGTGGGACCCTCTCTGAAGGGGACACATCAGACTCTTGGACTGCATTTGGACACAGCACCAACAACTCTCCTTGACAGAGATGGCAATCCTCTGCTCTGGGAAGCCCCAGACCAGATATGCCTGTTCCTTTTACCTTCCCAGAACCCTCAAAGAGAAACTGTAGAACTTAGGATTACAGATAGAATGTGAAGCAGGTCTAAAGCATCTCATTGTTTGCAGGCCCTAAGTCAACTCTAGAAGCCACAATGAATTTAGATGAAACCCAAACATCCAAGCTGGATTTTACATCAACAGGCAACATTGACATAAAAAGACAAAGTATTTGGAGGCTCAACCATCCTCAGAAGCCCAAGGGCTCAACTGCATGCTCTTGACCTAGAGAATAAATAACAGAACCTATTAAATAGATTTCAACAGAAATATGAAATTAGCATTCACTGTAATCAAGTGCAGATCAGACACAATGCAAGGAAACACCTCTACAACTAACAAAAACTTCATAGATGGCATTGTGTCACCTGTCAGCATTGCCTCAGACTTGTCACCATCCTAATCCAGGTAAACTGAGGTTTCAGCTCTGCAATCAGAATGCATCTATGGCCCTGCTAATCTGCTTCACCTGCCATACACCAACACTTACCCTCGGCAATTCCCCTTTGCCAACTGTCTGCTCACACACAAACACCTCTGTATATTTTCCTCTATAGTTCCAATTTCTAGCTCATAACGTTCCTGCTCTGGTCCCCAGTCCATAGCTGTGGTCTCCACTCCAGCCCCCAGGACCATCCTCCCAATCTCAGCCTTCACTTCCAGATCACATGTTCAGCCCAGCCACTGGACCATGGCTCATACTCAGCTCCTTAGACCAGGGCTGGTCTGCCCTCGACCTGGTTTTCTATCTGGTTCATGTTTCATGTCCACCCCTTCTGCTTTCCAAAACTGGGTGATACAGAATCAAACCCCAAGTGAGAACAGCTTTTCTGCAGTTTCTGCATGCTTCATCCACCCAAAGTGCCAAATCTGGCTGCAAATCAGAGACAGGATCTGATGGATCCAATATTCCACCAGAAGCAGATCAAGGGCTTAACTGAAGCAGCAAAGACTCCCCATAACAACAGTCTTCCTGTCCATACAGGCAGCCCTCTGTTTAAAACATCTGACAGCTGTTGAACAGCAGGTTACATTATTGCATGATGGAGGCTGTCACTTTAATCCTGACTTGTAAAAAAAAAGATCCATTATTACAGAATGTACTGTAATAAGGCAAAGATACTACAGCAGAAAGCAAAAAAAGTTGTAAGCTTGTTTTAGGATAAAAACAAAAGCATAATGAAATAGCAAATTACTCATCAGCGTTTGGAAAGGCAGCTACTCCATATGTGTACAATATAAAGAGTAAAAAAGCACAAAATACAGTAAAAGCAACTAAGATGGATAAGCCAAAGAACCTTCAGGAAACAGCATCTTTTTAGTTTCTTTGGAGGAAAAAAATCAAGTGAGCTTTATTGTGACTGAAAGTACCCCGTGCCCAGTTCTCTCCCCAGCATTCCTCCTTGCCCTCTCTCCAGGGGCTGCTTCACACCCAGCAGGCAATGGGACCCCCAGGGAGATGGCCCAACACCCTCCCACCCTCTTCACTGCTCTCTCTGGCACTGGCCACCAGGCTCCCACCACTCACAAGTCCCTCTTTGCATCGCCCCATTGCCCTGCCCCGAGCAGGACTTCACCCTCTCGCCCCCACATCCCTCCTGCCCCAGGCACTGCCCTTCTCCTTTGCCCCACACAACCCACACTGGTCCCAGCATCTGAAAAGCTTTGGCCTTCTGGATTATTTCCCCCCAAATCAGTGACTCCAGTGCGATGAAAAGAAGAAGCACTTGTGATTGATCAATCCAATCGTTTTATTTTTCACCTGTTAAGAGAACCCTATGCCTACCAGCAGAGTTCAACATAGATGGGCAGACAGACTTGAATACAATTAAATACAGGAAAAATTGAACTATATACAACAAGACAGACATCTACATAATATAAAGATTTTTTTTATTTTCTATGAGTTCTTGCCAATGTGAAATATTGCTGGAACTGAAATATCAGACATTTTTTCCCTTGAAGAAAAAAGCATGTAATGAATTTCCAATTTTTTTCCCATGTACTGAGACATAATATCTGTTTTGAGATGCACAAAATTTGTGGCACTTCACAGGGTACACAAAAGCTAAAAACTTTTTGTTATAGTTTATGATATCTAAGTTTAGATTAGATCCATTTACTGAGACACTAACTCTAAAGTGGTATTTACATGGAGGAAGTTGTGCAAAATCATTTAGGCTACAGCTAGTAGACTGTGAAAGATGCATGGTTAAGTGACTCATCCTCAGCAGTAATCCCTTAAATCCTCTTCTGATCATTCCTTCCACATAGTAGTCACCCCAGGAAAAGCAGCCATAATTCACTGTTACTTGGTTAAGCTACTGGGACAAAGTAGTTTCTGCAACCTCTATGGGTCTCTACAGTTTGAATGTTGGGCTGCTTCTCTTCACACAATTAATACTTTAAGCATCAACTCTCTGCTTTTCGGGACACAAATGCAGCCATCACTGCCACTGCAGTATCCTGAGACAGCCACAGTCCTTGCTTGTAGCTCATCTTAGCCATGGCAGCACACAGGAACTACCTGTGTGGAACTTTGCAGGAGTCACCCCATTGCCACAATACAGACACAGCATGTTCCTGCTAACACTGAACCAAAGCCAGTCCAAACCAGGGTGGGGAAGGTACTGCATTTCTTGAGGCAGCCTTTATGTAACAAAACTCTTTTTTACTATATCCCAAAACATTATAATTAAAACAAACAAACAAACAAACAAACGTCAATTTTACTTTGGGTTGCAAGGCAGCTTGAGACAGCTAATTTAGAAGAGCCTCTTTAATTAAAGGCTTCCTACAGATCCCAAGGACAGGTCAGCAAAGACGTCTGTGACACCAATATTAACTTAACACATCCTTCAGTTGTGCTGCACCAGGGCACAGAATGATTCTTATAGTGGTTTCTATAAGCAACCAACTGCCTAGAGGTGGCCAACTTTAATTCTGGAGTTTTTCATAGATGCACCTACCACAGTTGTGGATCATAAACCTCTGATTTTAATCATCTTGTCTACATGAGCCTGTTTGTATCAGCTCACCCTGGATTCCAGATCAGCTCAGACATTTTAGCTGTAAATTCAAAATAGACATTTAGAACTCAGTCCTGGGGAAAAAGTGACTGTTAAGAGTGCATAAACTGGTGTATTCCTGCCTTCTCAACTAGAGAAACTGTCTTTCCTAGGAGATGCATCTGACTTCTTTTCTAAAAATGCATTTAAAGAAAACTGGACAACTCTCAGGGCAAAGGGAGATTAAATTTTTCTCTAACAAGCTGTGAACGTTGCTACCAAACAGTTTTTAAAGCCTCCACTCAGTAATGGCAGTACAATTGTTTAATTTTCAATCCAATTCACCAGGCTGCATCCAGTCAGGTGTCAGTGTAACAACCAGTGAGAACAGCCAAGTGAACACACTGAACTTAAAGCATTACACTAGGAACAGCTGATACAGTAAGATCTGTAGGTAGTTTGGTATTCAGCATACAGATGAATTTGCTTCTTGTTCATCACTAAGAAGCCTAGAGAAGACTCTATTCTTGACAGTTATTAGGAGAGAGTGTTACAGCACAAGTAAACCCAAGAGACCATCTCATCATGTTAGAAAACAAATTCAGTGTTGGGATTAAAATACAGGAATTCTTAGCAGTTGAAACAATTAAGGAATTATTTTCAAGTTGTACATGCTGCAATGTGTCTGTGTACTTGAGATCTCATGGAGCTCCTAAAATCATCTGCATGTTCAAATCTTCTGCTCGAAACACCTGATTGCTGGTTAACAGCAGGTTACTTTATTGCATAACCTTTGTTGTCAATTTAAGACTGAATTATGAAGAAACAATCCATCAGTACAGAACTCACTCTACTTGGGCAAAGATGATATGCAAAATGCAAGAGTCATGAGCTTCTTACAGGATGAAAAGAAAAGATGCAATGAAATTGCTAATCTGTCTTCTGAAAGGAAACTATGCCATACCTGTATGTGAAAGTAGAATAATTCATAGAGTAAGAAAGAACAAAATATTCACACTCCCTCATTTAAGCATTAAAAAAAGCAGAAGGAAATGGATGAACTGCTTCCTTCCTGGTCTAGGTTGCTGGTCTAGTTTAGACACAGTCATCAATGTAGCATGATAACCAGGAACATAACAAGAAGCAACTTGGACCATAAAAAGCTGTCTAGATATGTTCAAGTTGGTCTCCAAAAAAACCAGTTTTATTTGGATTTGTGCACAACCTGCTGCTCTTTAAATCTTCAGAGCACTGAAAATATAACATTTCCCCCAAAATCCAGTTGAGTCTGTCCTGAGAAATAAAAGTACTCATATATAAATGGGATGATATTGTCTGTGAGTGAGTTTCTTCCTGCAGGTTGGGCAAGAGTTGGCATTCCTAAGGGAATCACGGAGGCACTGACTGCAGAAGACATGACCACATTTTGTTGACACAATCAGTCGTCCACTTTGTACAATCTGGAAGAAAAGAAACCCAAAGCAGGCATTGGAAGTAAAGAATTCAACTTTGCTGGTCTACTGCTATGACACAAACAGGACTTACAGTATCTGGAATTGTCCTCCAACTCTTAGAATAGTAAGGAACCTGAAGATCTTTCAGTGCCATCCTGCCAAGGGTTCCTCCCTCTACCCCCATCACGAAGAAGTGACTTAGACTGACAAGTTATTATGAGCTTCAAGGCAAGCTCTGTGCTTCAAGCCAGCTCTCTTAACATCCTATACTGGCCAAGTGAGTTGTGCAGTCCCCCTCTGCCCCTTTCCCTCTCACATAGAACACAAAGGATGACAGCAAGTGGATCCTTACCTCTGAGTAGACATCCATGCAAATTGGACAGCTAACAGTACCAGACGGCCTTGTGATACAGAGAACAGAACAAGAAAGAACATGCAGCCATTAATTTCACTGCACATCAAGGGTTACCCATACACAAAATGTCATGTCACTATCTGAGTGCACTGACTAGCCATGATGCATTTCTTTTCAACTCCTCAGTTTGTGGCATGTAATAACACGATTGGGTCTCCCTATCCTAAAGGTTTTCCCTAGGGGGAAGATGCACTCACAGTCACCCTGGTCTAGCACAAGAACTCACAGCAGTCCCTTGCTCTGTACAGCACTAATCTCCAACAGGCAATCAATGACAGCTCTGTAACAAAAGCACTGATGTGTGCCTTGGAAACAAGTCATTCTAGAAAGGGAAGAGGCTGTCAGAAGTTCAAAAATCCTCTGTTCTAATTTAGCAACAGCCCAGTAACGTAAGCATTCCAAGAAGTCCTCCTTATAAAATGTAGGTCAGGAACACACTAACGTGAGGAATACTCAACCCCAAATTTCTAGTTCCAAGGCAGAAAGACCAGCTCAGTGTCTGTTACTGAGCTATGGCTACTGATGTGCCTCTGCTGCCTTCAGCCTCCAGGACAGCAGTACTGCACATACACTTAGCAACACACAGCTCGGCTGCCTAGGGAACATCCCAGCCCAAGTGCTGAATAACATCAGCTAGCAGAAACAAAAAGAGCTTCCTGACACTCTTCTTTACAAACTAATCTCTGCTTTAAACCTCCAGAACTCTTTACCCTAAACACTTGGCTTTCTTATGTCACCACCCATGCTGAATCACAGTTTTTAATTTATTAATCAAACAGGCATAGAAAGCATGAGATCGTATTATCTTCAATTCTAGCAGGGAGCACTACTAACATCTACCCCTACTTTCACCAACAGAATTTAACTCCAATAATTCTCTCATTTTTACTCCTCAAATTCTTGAGGCACCAGCTATAACACTTCAGTAATAAATTACAATAGATGATAATCTTAGAAGGATGGAAAGTCCAACACTACAGATGGCTCCGGCAATCCCCAGCACCAGGAAGGACCCTTTTGTCAATGTTAAACACTGCACCACTGAGCTCTTTCAGCCTTTACCTACAAAGAGCAGGAAGGTGCAATCTTTAACAGAGGAGGCTGAAGGAACAATTACTTTCTTATAGTATCCAATTAGTGGTATTTGTTCTCTGAAGTACTTAACAACCAAAATTTAAATATCTACAACTCCACTGGCAAAGCACATTATGGATTAGAATAGTACAGGACTTTTTAGTGGCATATTTATGACCTGGCACCCAAAAGCTACATACTCAAGTTCTCTCCTATACTGCCTTTCAGTAATCCAAAAGGCTCAAAGCACATCAGCTTCATTTAACCCTGTATTTCCCCTGCTCCTCACAGAAAAAAAAAAACCAAACCAAAAACACTTTAAAAGAAGTTTATGCTACAATTCTTATGTCCTTCTGATGCCTTGGAGAGGCTACCTAGAAGAGAGGCTAGATAAAATAATAAAGTAGGTATTTATTAAAAGGCCTTCAATGGATACACCTTGAGCAGTGCAAAGCCTCGCAGAGCCCACACTCAAAATGGATAAGAGTCACGAGTTTCTCAGAGAGATATAAGTTTGGTCTATTTGCATATCAGACAATTATATGTTACAATATAGAACAATTATAGTTACAGGTGATGAAATCACATTCCCTCGGGTTGCTTCCCCCCCAGTTCATTTTTGTTTACACTTTCCGGGGCCTGAGGCAAATGGTGTGACCTTGGTTCCCAGGCCCAGAAGGATTGTTTAGTCTGATCAAAATGGGAATAAAGCTAACTATCATTCTATATAGAGTTCAGAGTTATACTCTAATGCAGTACAGAATCTGAAAAATATAAAAGCTAAAAACTTAAGGCATCACTTCCACTTGCCTAGTCACAGACAGTGGATTTCATTTCCTTAGTCTAACACACTGCAGCAGGATTTACTCTTTCTCTGCAGAATGGGGTCTTAACTGACTCAAACAGCAAGATTCCCATCCCATATGCAAACATATCAGGGCTCCATAACATCCATGAGACAGAACAAGAATTGACCATAAAAGCATGACCCCCAGGATCACCTGGCAAGTATACCTTGGGAAGGACAGCAACTGCTTGGAGAAAAGCAGCAACTGGCACAGTATGTGAAAAAAAAAAAAAAGCAGGGAATGTATAAGTGTTTTCACTGGAATTTGCCAGTGTGCTGCCTGCCAGTCTTGTGATACCAAACGTCATGGACACCAACAGAAGTATTTTATATCTAATGTAACTACTGGAGCTTTGTAGGAAAAGGAAATGCAATACATTATGAGCTCTGGCCTGTGACTAATTCCCACATCCTTGCCATACCTCACACTCATCTTTAAGGCTGTATACAAAGCTGTAGATCTCTTTTGGGCTGGCTTTTCATCCTACAGTGAAAATGGCGTCATTTGACTATCATGCAACATGGGATACTCATTGAAAGAGGGAACTGAGTAAGTGAAGGCTTCAAAGAAAGTCAGGTGATGACAAATAGAGCTTAGTCCTGTCTGTTCAAAAGAAGCACAACTCAATTGTGCTTTGGTAGGTCATGAGGCATACGTACTTTGAACTTGCAGTTTCCTCTTCCAGCGGTCCCAGTTCTCGAGATGCTTTATCAGCCACATACACATCGTTATCTCTTGTTTCATCTTCATCATCACTGCTCAGTACACAGCTGTCTGACTGTCGCTGGCTTCTTAGTCTCAGATTTCTCCTCTGTCGTTGGTTCTCTGTAATGTAATTTTGTTAAGTTAGCTACACTGTTATCCCTCTCCCTAGAATCATCCTTGAAATGCAAGATTAGACTATATTCAGCTGGGTTAAAAAGCAATCTTAAACAAACTAGTTTCCAAATATTAAGGCTAAATATGTCCAGACATTGTGAATATTCTGCTACATACTGACACAAAACATTTGCTCTCTTCACCCCACAAACAGCTAAAACTTAATCTTGAAGATCCTCAGTGTCACACATTCCATGTAATTACACTACCTGTGAATTAATCTCTCCTATAAAAGGAAGATAATTCTCCCAATTCTTACTGACAGAAAGTGCTACAATCCTATGTTGAGGAACTGCAACAATTGCTGTGTTCTGGAAGAGAGAGGATTGAACTCAAGTTTGTCTCTACAACTCCAGCATTCATGTAGAAATAATCAAGCTACTAATCAATAAAACAACATAAAAAGTCACAAAATTAAAACCACTTCCTGCCTAAGTGTTCAGCTACAACTTTTAGTGTAGGCATTTTTCACTTATTCTTGCTTCATTCAGAGCACAGAACAGATTACATTCTAGATAAGTAACTGACAACATACTAATACATCTTCAATAACGTAATCAGAACCACATCTGAAAGATGTAAAAGATTAACTTCTTTAGACCTGTAACTATTTTAACATCTAAAGTAGAAAAACAGTTAATACTTCTCACTGCAAAATTTGAGGCATGTTAGACTAGTGAATACTATGAGCACAAATGACTTTCTTTAGCTCTTTCACTGTAATACAGGTTAAACAAAACTTTTTTTCATTCACAACCAATATTCCAGTGCTAATTAAAATTATGGTCAACTTGGGGCTTAAAGAAATTTTATCTTTAGAAAATAATAAAAAGTATTTAGAGCAGCTTTTGATATATTTTATTTCAGATACTTTCTACCAGCTCTGATACTGACTAACAAACAGAGACTAGATTAATCCTCTAAGGCACTGGCCAGATGCTTTAGCAATTTCCTTGGCCTCTTGCAGTTTCAATAAATGCTGCTCAAATTCATTGGAAAAGGCAAACAAGAAATAATTCTTATAATGAGGAGAATCCCATTATCGATTTTAAAATGTCAACTCACCTTCAACAATCTTGCATCAATACATATGGGAAGGGAGAGAAAAGAAAATACAATTAGAGTTTGTTGTGCACCTCTAGTGTTACATACAAACACCACCTAGGCACAGCAGTTCCAACAAAACAAGCTAAGAACAGTAGGCTACTACTCTTATTTTGATTAGGAATATTAAAAGTATTATATTAAATGCTTCACTGTAAACCACTATTCGGATGCTGATGGCTCTGCTTCAATGGGGTAGAAATAGAGGCAATTTATGAACCACCTGAACCCACTCGTACCTGCTCCCCCATTTCAGTTCCATGCTTCAGAGTTTCAGAGGATTCTTTCCCTCTTTCTCCTCAAACAGGCCAGTTCAGCATTGATGTCCATGAACACTTCATATTATGGCAGCTGCTGAAGAATAGAACCCAATCCCCAACCTGCTCTTGGTGGAACTGGAGCAGGGTAAGTGCAGATTCTCTTGTTAAGTTTGAGGCCTTTCCTTTGCAAAGGCTCAGGAATAACCCCAGCAAGAAATACTCCCTATGCTATCCCTACTGTTTGTTTATGTTTAGCACAGCAGCAGTGGCATCCCAAAACTGAAGGGATAAACAACATTGTCAGCTGGATCAAAGACTATTCTACCTTTCAAAAGAGCAGGAAAAAGGTTTTTTTAAAGACTTCTTGGAGTATTAACCTGAACTTATTTTAATTACTCTTCTTTCCCATGGCTCTTTCTTTAAATCATTGGCCTATAGGGGTATTAGAAACAAATTCTTTACCAAGAGTTATCAAGCACTGGAAGGGGCTGCCCAGGGCAGCCCAGTAGCATTGGCTTGAAGTCACCATCCCTGTAGGTATTTCCAAGACTTGAAGATGTGTTGCCTATGGACATGGCTTAGTTGTGGACTTGGTGGTGCTGGGTGAATGTTTGGACTTGATGATCTTAGAGGTCCTTTCCAACCCAAACAATTCTATGATTCTATCTTTGATATATCTAGAAAAACTTCAACTATCAACTGCACCTCTTTATGTTACACTGCCTATGACTGATCTATATAACCTTCAGGTTCTAGAGCAAAAAGTTATTTTATACTACCCTATCACTAACTGCAAGTGCACCTCCAGAGAAGCTTCTTTATCTGTTATCTGTAACACAGAACCTTCATGCCCTGACAACCCAACTCTGAACTTAAAACTTACCCTTAAAGTCAGATTCTATCAGGCAACACATGAGGTAACTAATTTGACTACAATATTTAGGCAAGTGTGCTATTCACTACTTACCACAACGGAATCATTGTGAGTTAGATCAACGACTACAGGATCAGAAGATTCACATGTGAGATCTACTACTTCTTCACCAGCTGAAAAACAAAGTTAGAATCAAGGTCAGATTGCAAAGGAGGAAAATTGCCTGCCACTGGGTAACAGCCTGAGATTCAACCATCTCCTGTCCATCTTCTCTCCAGGAACAAGTCCAACGTTTCACTCCAGCTTTGCCCTCAGCAATCCACAGAGAGCTTTGCCAGCCCTGCTTTCAGCAAGCTGAAATGCAAAAGAGCAGCTAAGCTTCTCACACAGTTCTGCTGGATGACAACAGCAACTGACAATTCATCTGAGAGGAGAATGTTTGTCACACAGAAATATAACATGAATCATATAGGATACAACAGTACTGTGCTGTGCATGCTCCCTTGAGGGATTGGGATTTCCTTATCTTCTTCAAACTTGGGAATTCCCAAATTTAGTTTGTAACTCTGCATAGTGGCAGTTGCTGTAACTCCCATCTAATCTGAATAGATATGCAGATGTTTGAGCAGTTCTTGAGGATCTTTCCTGTACAACTCAACTAGTGGCAAATGCGTTGTAGCTCAGTAACAAACCAAACCAGTTTTTAGTAGGCTTGTTGTTTAGCAATGCCATACTAGGCACTTCCTAAAATCATGTTCCCCTTCTTCTCCAGTAAATGGCCTAGAAACTGGCAAAAAGCACATGTTCAGTCGGACCCAAACTCTCCAGAAGCACTTTATGTTCTTATCATTTCAAAAGAAAGCTTACCACTTTCTTCAAGTTCTATTGGCTCTGCTTCTGAAGCCATTTCAGCAGTAGAAGCCATAAGCCTGTTTCTTTTTCGAGCTTGCCTAGAATTAACTGTTCCTCCACGGCGCTTCCGTTGAGCCTAAGAGAGAACAAAGACTTAGTGCAAGCAATATTAACATAGCCCTCAATTTCACAGCATCAGTGAAAGCACACAAGGGTACAGAAAAGACTCCTGGAATGGCTGTAATAGTCATCAAAAGGTGGTATGGGTTACTCTTACCTGAATTGATTTCAGCAAGGAAAAAAACATCACCCCAGATCTCTTACCAGCTCCCTCACCAAGAAAAGGCCTATCATGATGGTTTGCAAATGAGAAACTAGTTTACAATTTATCAGGCTCTGCCAACATTGTGAGCATTTCTGTACTACTGCTACCACCTAGAGTGATTAAAAATCTTTACTGAACTTACAAGAAGATTCAATATACTTATGTTCCTGTGTATTAGTTACAAACTCTTAAAACAGTTTGCAGAAATACAATGGAAAACATGTTTCAAGATTCAGGTTTGCATTGACTAGCAAAATACTTACTGTGCTCATAATGTTTCTTGATCTAAAACCACTGAAAAAGAGGTACAAACACCAAAAAAGTAATGGCAAGGAAACTACAGCTATAATTTCCTTAGATTCCTTTAGGTAGCTCACTGATAAAAACTCCAGGTTTCTGAAGGTCAGAGGATGATGTTCTTCCAAACCTATCAACAAGAAAAGAGAAGGTTACCTGTCTGCAGTGCTTGTAGTCTCCAATATCCCCTGCTCCAAGATTTCCATTCCTGAGCCACCAGTTTCTGCCCAAAGCTAGAAGGGAGGGAAGTCCCCAAGTTCAGTGAGCCTCAGACACCTGCACCTGAAGCCTCAGCCATTCTCACCCGTGAACTAAACATCTGAAAAAGTGAGTTTGACAGCTCTAGAAGAATATTAAGAAATCCCAATGACATTGAACTGAAAAGCAACTGAATGATACTCAAGGCAATGTCTGTGGGCAGGAATCACTGGGAATTTTGACATGAACAGCTATCTTCAGAGAACCTAAACTCCAGATGAGCAGCTTTATTCTACAACCCATCTCCAGATTCCAACAGGTGGGAGCCAAACAGCTTGAGACAAATTTAAAGCAAGTGAAGCAGACAAATTTCAGTTTCAAAATACTTGCCAATGTGCAGGAGAATATGATTTCACTGTAGCTGCTCTGTTACCTGCACGTGTGCATGCCCAGCTCCCTGCCAAGGGGGAGAGGTGAAAAGCATAAAGGCAGCTCTGAGTAACTGACAGGGTACTGAAGGGTCACCTTGGAGCCTGGCTGTGGTACAGTTACCACCTGCCCAACACACAGTGCAGAGCTGGGGCTGGGCACGAGTGGACATGGTGGAAGGGCCAGGAAAATACCAACTATGTGTCTTGGGGTGACTGTATGGTCCAGTATCCCCTACTGTCTGCTCTGTGCTCAGATATGAGTCCTGTAGCTTCAAGTTAGATTGGGGAGGGAGGAAGTAGTGGAATTATTTTGGCGCCTGTATTCAAAACCACAGAGATAAGCCTCTCAGTTACTCCCAGTTCTCAGCTTTCCTTCTCCAGAGAGAGAGAGAGAGAGAGAGAGAGAGACAGAGCTTTTCTTTGTTTTTTAGCTAGAGCTTTTCTTTGTTTTTTAGCTAGCTTCTTGTTTGTAAGCTGAAGAAGTAAGTTTTTTCCTGGGACATGGCTTCTTCTGGAACTGTTCAGCTTTTCTCCAGCCCAAAACACCGGAACATTGCTCGGGGGATCCTCCATGCTGCACTCCAGCTCCAGAGAGAACGGAGCCACGCCTACAGAAAGGACTCTGAATCCACCATCTCTTCAGAGCAGTGAGAGGTTTCATTATTTAACATTATTCCTTTTTTTTTTTTTTCATGCCTGTGAGCAATCTGATTGTTGAATTAACAGTTTGGTTTTTTTTCACTTTCTCCAAGGGAATTCCTTTGAATGTGTGTGAACCCATGGGGGAGGGTTGCTAAAACCAGTCTTCTATTAGAGAAGGCACGCTTCCTCCTAAATTTGTCCAAAACTGGGCATCTATGTTTAACAAGAACTGCTGAACTGTCTCCAGAGCCGACTGATTTTTGCCACGAAGACCAGCACACGCTGTAGTCTACTCCCAGATGAGGAAACATGTGAACACGCAGTGGGATGGAACAGCACTGGCAGTCAATCCTAGCCTTCAATTAAAGGAAACCTTGTGGATCTTTTCCTGCTTCAACTTACTCATTCCTTAAATCACTTTCTTAAGAGACCCACTAACACTGAACTGTGACATTATTAAAACAAAACATGCTTGAGAAAAATGCTTACACTCAATTTGGCACTTATTACGAAGCCCAAAGGTATATTTACGTATAGTTTTAAGCAACACAGTACACCACGCATCAATTTTCTCATTTTTTCATTTTAAAACTGGCACAAAAGCCAAATTGGTAGTCAACATGCCTTTTCTTTTTTCCCCCCAGTTGAACCACATATGCCAACTTAATGCTTAGTGAGTCCACGGGCACAATAGATCTCATTTACAGAACTATTATGTGTAACACCCTCTCTCACTTTTTTTTAGAAATCTAAACTGACATGTTCCATTTTTCTGGTAGATAAGAAATAGTCTCATACTGTCACCTGGGATGTTCAAGACTCAGGCTACCAGAGAAGGCAGACTGACTTCAGTCTCTTGCTTCCTCAATTCAGGACTCACCTATGCAATCATTTCCATAACATTTTTCATCCAGGTAATGAGAATTCTCTTTTAACACCTCATCCCACTGTTCTTAAGGTCTAGATTTCATTTCACTTGCAAAGAAAGAAAGCTTCTCTGTGAGCCTTATCAAAATTCTTGGAAGATCCTATTTTAGTCACTTTACTGAGTTTCTGGGATAGGAGACACGAACTTTTAAAACCAAACCATGCCTAATGCTGCAATCATAGACAAATCCAACCAAACCAAAACCAGAAGAATTGAGAGACTGTTCTATGAGCACATTTTCTAGGTGCTATATAAGCTCCTAGTTCCATATGACATATTCACGTGTTTGGAGATTTTAGGAGACAGAGGGAAGAGTGTGGGAGTGGCGGAGACTGACAGTGAGTTGGCCTTGGCCGACCATGAAGTGAGCATCAACCTAACACCATGGGAAATGAGATGCTAGGAAGGGAAACATCTGATTAGGTCATGGAGAGAAGGATGGGATTATGGGAATAGATATGTTAATATATTGGTTCCATGTCAGGTAATGTTCTGAGTTCTTGTTGTTGATTGGTTAGTCATGTTTTACATATAAGGTAATATTAATGTCCATTGGTTCACTGCTCTGCTCCAAAGATTCCATATTTTCATTTTTACCTCTTTGAGGGGTCTTTGGAGGTTGCTCCACTCTGTGTTCAGCTTACATTCTTTTGTTTTCTTGGTATTATTAAATTATTTTCCAGGCTTTCTCAACCGTTCTCGTTCCTATTTCATTTGCCATCCTGGCTGGTCTGGTTCAAGTCTTAGTGCCAGTGATAGAATGGGAGGGGAAGGAGGAGACACAGCACAAGGGGGGCAAGGGAGAGAACCATTCCTAAGCCTTACATATCTGCTCTTTCAAAATAATTTCTTCAAGACAAGTTACTATCTTCATTGACCAGCAAGAAATTAAATGAAAAATTACTTAGGTAAACCAGTTTTCTGCACACTGCAAAAGGACGAACAAGAGTGAGCAGCACATGAGGTATATTAAGAAGTTAGGCTGTTAGATTATTTGTAAGTTTTATTTTATCAAGAAAGCCAAGAGACATTTTCCTCCATTCCCCTCAGATATTGAATTGGAAAAAATACCTGGACATCAAAAAGTTGGGGATTGTTAGTTGGTGCACACACCTGAGAAATAGCAAGAAATAAACTTTATATAAGCTTATTTTGAATTACAATTTGTCAGAACTGTTTTTAAATAGAATCTTTCAGAACATAAACACTGACATATCTGCACTGCTGAAAGACAGCAAAAAATAAGCCTATTGTATTCATCAGGCAGCATGGGTTTAAATGTCAAATACCCAGGTGGTTTCACAAGACCTGGTGCTGTTCAGACTTAACACTGAATACAACCCAGTGCAATGTTTTTTTTAGGTAAGTATCTTTAGAAAGGGTTAAAAACATTGCAGGGAACACCCGTGATGACTCCAAACAAAAACTTGCAGGGATTCTCTTTGGCTATGAGTGACTTAAATGCCAAAGGAGAGCTGTAACAGAAGAAAAAATGAACCCAACAACCAACAAACTTAAAGTTATGCTGAAAATTGAAGTAATACACAATTAAAGACATGTTAAGACCATCCTATCCACTTTAAATACTCACATGCTTCTTTATCCATATACAGAAAACCAGATTATTTACAGGATTACTGTAATGTCTGTGAACACAGGATTACTGTGAAATGTCTCAGAGGATCTTGCCTCAACCCTCAATTGCAGTGGAGGACAGAACCACCTTTTGAGCTAAGTGACAGAGCACACCGCTGCTATTTAGATGGCTCAATTTTCAGGATCTTAGTACACTGACAATTGGGTTTCTTTATAATTAATGCAGAGAGTACATATAAGGCACAAATGTTCCAGCTGCTGATAGCTCAAAGCATCTTCAGAAGCTGCTTCTGAAGAATTAAGTTGAGAATAGATACCCACAAGGAAGCCATCACAGTAAAACTACCTCAAATCATCACAGGTAGGTTCATCAATATCAACATGGCTCATCTCAGGAGAGTCCTCTTTACTAAGAAAATCCAGCTGCTGGAATTTATTGACTATGGAAGGAGCCTTATGATCCAGTAACATTTTTATTTTGTAAGAACAAATCTTTCCTGTGGGGCTATAGATTTCCACATTATTGGCTTATTTGGGAAACCTCATTGAACATCAACTGCCCAAACATTCTGAAAACAAAGCAGATTTTACTTTCTTAAATAAACCACAGATCAAGTTTAGTAATGTACAGGAACAGGGTATACACATTGCACATTAAGATATACACTCATCTGGAAGAATTCCTTAAAAATCTTCAAAACTGTACGACCACTTAATTTAGTAACAGTTTGTTACACAGGACTGGAAAGTCCAAGTTAATGATAAGGCCTATAAGACTCCTCTTCCAGCAGTCACCCACCACAAAGTCTCCCAGGAGCTGATAATAAAAGGAATTACTGCAGCAACCTCCTCCCCCCAACCCATAGACATCCAGTCACCTCACTCACAGCTTTAGCTGCAGTTATCTGTGAGACTTATAGCAAGATGGACGCAGACGTCAATTCAAAATTCTAAAATTATGATTTTTTTAAAAAGTAAAAAGACTTTTTTTGTATAAAAACTTAGATCAACTTAGCAAGCCAATACTTGTAACTTTTAAAGACTTTCTATTGCTTCATTGCAGGATGGTACAGTACCCCTTCCTGTCATATGCAGAGCTCTGCACATGCAGTTATTGCTCCTAAGCAGTGCTGATCTCAGAACAAATACTATTTGTATTTCAAAGACTACAAGTACCAACTTTCCTCTGTACTTGAGAAAAAAGAAGGTCAAGCTATTTAAATTAAGAATGTTTACACTTTAGGAAGGGTAACTACTGCTATTCACCATTTAAGTCTGTTTTTTCCTCTATAAAAAAGTCAACATTTTCACTGAGTTCAAGCTAAGCCAATTAAACATGTTTGAATTACCACTCAAAAACAATTGATTCTCTAGAATACTGAAAACTTTTCTTGTACCACTCTCAAAATGAAGTCTTGGTCTCCCACATGAACGGAGGCAAATTGTCTGAACCAAGACAGACATTTTCCCTGTCTCACTAACACAAACAAGACTTAAGCTCATATTCATCACAACAAATACACTGAAGGACATACTTGAAGATACCAATAATGTCAATCCAAAAACTGGGAATGTGCAAGGCACAGCTGACAACACCATTATATATTGAATTTGTCAAAATGGGATATCCAAACAATGCCTTAAGTTTTAGTTATGTATTTTCCAGATCCTATAGCGGATTAGTGTATAACTCTGAATTTCACATAGAGTGTTAGCAAGCTCTCATCACAGTTTGGTCAGACAAAACAATCCTTCCAGGCCTGAAAACCAAGGTCACACCATCACAGCCTCAGGCCCAAAAAATCTAAACAAAAGTAAATTGGGGGGGGAGCAAACCGGCGGAATGTGACTTCATTACCTGAAGCTGTAATTGGACAATTAACCCCTGATATGCAAATACACCAAATTTATATTGGCCACTTTATTCTCTGTCTAGCCTCTGTTCTAGGTAGCCATTTCAAGGCAGCACCATGCCCTTAAGACTTTGCTTCTCATTTCTACTCCAGATGTCTCTTTGGACCCCTAACAACAGGAAACACTGAATCAAAGATGCATCTGCATAACAAGATTTTTGTCCTCAGAAGATGCACATACCAGGCACAAAGTGCTAGTCTAACTTTTTTTTTAATTTTTACCATGGAGAACACTAATCTTTCATTTTTTAAAAGCTTCCTACCCAGTATTTCCAGTACTTTTAAAGATGCTTTCATTTTCTCAAATGCACTACACCAACTTCAATGAAAAAGGAAACTGAGTCTCTGTTACTCAAATTAGGTAAAACGTTCCCATACTAAAAGACCTTGGTGAGAGGCACCATAAAAAGAGTTCAGGTGAGAGATAACCAACTTACCAGAGAGATACACCAGTCTGCCTGCTCTAAGCAGGCAGCTACATCTACAGACAAATATGACATGTTAATGAAAAACCTAAAAAACCCGAAACAGTTCCAAAAACAACCAAGAAATCCCCCAAACCCACCCATAGAACAAAACACACAATCTTTTCATCGGCCGCATGTCCTATTCCAGACACAGCAAAGAAAAATGGATACCGGCCAGAAGAAAAGCTCATTGCTCTTACTTGCACAAGTTTCTCTGAGAGACGCCACAACTCACTTTCAATAGTCCCAAAAACCAAATACAGAAGAAAGGAAAAAAAAACCAACCCAAAAAACCCCAAGCTGAGTGTTTCCACATCCTGTATTGAAGTGCAGGTGCGGGCTGAGGTAGGCGAGGAACATTCCCCCCACTCCTGCTGTCACACAAAATGGGAGGGCAGAGCGACAACTTCATGCAGCTACAGTCACCGAGCCCCGGCTGTTCCTCCGGAGAACAGACCCGTCTTCCCGAGAAGACGGGGCAGGACGGCGGTAGCCCCAGCCGTGCCCACAGCTCGGCGCTGCGGCCGCCCGCCGGTCAGGACAGGACAGGACAGGGCAGGGCAGAAGCGGCGGGGCCGCCCCGTGAACCGGGCGGTGGCGGAGCCGGGCCCGGAGCACTCGGCCGGGCCCAGGAGGGCGGACCCGTCACGCGGCTCTCGGCGGGACCTGCGGGGGAGTCCCTCGGACAGGCCCGCACCCGGGGAACGGGCTGGGGCACCGTCCTCAGGCCGGAGCGCGGGCGGCGCCGGCCCAACCGGCAGGAACGGCCGCATCTCCTCCGCTCCCCCCACTGCGGCCGGGAACGGCTGCTTCCGCTTCCCCTCCCCGTTCCCTTCCCGTTCCCCTCCCTCACCTGCCGCCCCGGACCCTCGGGCAAGCGGGAGGGACGGACCCGGTAGCGCCGCTCCCCCCTCGGCCGAGCCCCCGGCCCGCCGCACTCACCTCAGAGCCGGCCGGCAGCGGCGCACGGCAGCGCCCGCCCCCGAACGCTCACCATTGGCGGAGCCGCGGCTCTGCGCTCGCGGAGTGGCCAACGTGTACGTCAATCAGACGGGTATAGGGGGGCGGCCCCACCTCCTCTGCTGCGACAGGGCATGCTGGGAGTTGTAGTTCCGCGCGGGCGTGGGGCCTGTGCGGGGTTGTCCGGGCCCGCTGAGTTCTCTCGCCACCCCTCGGGAAAGGTCTCCTGATCCTCGGGTTAATTCGCTCCTGACAGACCCTGAAAGGGGCAGCCGAAGCCAGACCGTGCTTTTGCTGTGTTCTCTGGAGCTGTTGTACCTGGAGTTGGAGTGTGTGTGAGCTTTGAGGTGGTGTTTTCCATTCTCCCCCCCTCCCCCTTCCCCCCGCCCCGTCTTCTGGAAACGTTTCACAGAATGTCAGAATTGTAGAATCAATTAGGTCGGGAAAGACCTTTGAGGTCATCAAGTCCAACACCACCAACCAGAGTGTTACTAACTGCTCATGCAGATTAATGGATCTGTGTGGTGGTTACTGCACCTTCTAACAAGCCAAGTCAGCCCAATCCAGTTCCTTCAGAAATATTGTGCAGCTTTTATACCAAAGGCAAAAAACAACACCATACGTGGCAGACCACCAGGGGTTCCTAAGACCTTCAAGAGGCCCCTCTGAGGCTCACTGGGTAAACCTAGGCAACTTCATATCTAACAGTTCTCTAATTAATATGTACACCACAATATAAGGAGGATATTAAACTAATAGAGGGCATCCAAAGGAAGACAACAAAGATGGTGAAGTGCTTTGAGGGGAAGCTGTCTGAGGAGTAGCTGAGGGCAGTTGGTCTGTTCAGCCTGGAGGAGACTGAGAAGACAGAGACCTCAGTGCAGTTACAGCTTGTGAGGGAAAGAAGAGGGGCAGGCACTGATCTCTTCTCTTTGGTGAGTGACAGGACCCAAGGAAATGGCCTGAAGTTGTGTCAGGGGAGGTTTAGGTTGGATATTAGAAACAGGTTCTTCATTCAGAGGGTGGTTGGGCATTAGAACAGGCTCCCCAGGGAAGGGTCACAGCCCCAAGCCTGACAGAGTTGAAGAAGTGTTTGGACAATGCTCTCAGGACAACCACATGATGTGATTCTTGGAGATGGTGCTGTGCAGGGCCAGGAGGTGGGCTCAATGATCCTTGTGCATCCCTTCCAACTCAGCATATTCTGTGATTCTGTGATCCCTGGCAAATAAACACCTATATCATCTTCAGCCAGGCATGCACATTAGGCCAAGTTACCCCCTGTACATCCAGCACTGTAATAAAGTAATGCCTGCTTCTTAACACTGTATTGGTGTTAAGAAGTTTTATTCTCAATTTTTGCTGACAAGACCATAGCCATATGCAGCGTTTCCTTAAACATCCCCATTCCAATATCTAACCACTTTTTCTGTGAAGAAATTATTTTTCTCCATGTGTTTCCAAAAGACTGAGCAAAATTCATCAAAGCCAACAGTGTGGGAGATTGTGACCTATTACCCGTGGAATAATTACTCCAGATCCAATATCTAACTCATAAACACTTGCAGAGGTGTTTCAAGGCCCTCACCTCATTATCAAAAAGGGTTTTCCCCAACAGTTTTACCTTAGTGCAATAAGCAGCTGTCCTTCTCTGGATTCTTACTGCCCCGTGCCTGGCAATCGGGCTGTTTGCAGATGAACTGGTAGCTTTCCCTAGTGACTTGCCTTCCCTTCTCCTCTTCTGCGTGAGGAATGCTGGAGATTTGTACTAGATTTTTTTTTTCCTTGCCATCCCAACATAACCATCTCTGTGTCTTTAATTTCATTTAAATAATAAAACACCTGTGTTCTTTTGGGCAGTTTGGATTACCTGGCATGGCAGTCACTGAGCATAATCTTTCCCTCATTCCTGAGGCTGATATGGAAGATGGAACCAAATGTCACCAGCAGTGACAGTGTTACCTGAGTGGGGAGCACCCTGTGTCCAGTGCCTGTCACATGGCAAAACACCTTGGTCTTCCTCAGGTAATCTGGGCTTTGTTACACCTCCTTACACTGTAGTGGCATGTGAAGGCTTCTGTGGTCTGGCTGTTTGTGGTGAAATGGGAGATCTCTGGAATGTGCAGCTTCCAGCACTATAAATGTTTACTTATGAGTCCATCACTGTGATCAGACAAGTGCAACCTCTGATTTTGTTACTCTGTTTTGATGGATGATTTCAGAGTCAGCCTTTTTCACTCAGGCTCCTCTTCTTGGCTGCAAATGGTGTAACGAATGTGTAAATGAATGAATCATGAATTATTCATCCACCTGTGTTTCTGTGAAGCAAGTGTAGAGGCATTGCTCACTCAATTATCTGTGTGTGGCTGCACCAGGTGGTGGATGGTCCCTGCCACAGGCACCAGCTGAGGCAGCAAGTCTCAGGGAGCTCTGTGGCTTCACAGCTCACCTGGCTCCAGGGGCATTGCAGCTGCTTTTGTTACACAAGGCTAACAGGTCCCACCAGACCTTTGATGACTCTGCATTGCTCACCTCAGGTTTCCATGTACCATACAGGAGCATGAGGGAATGTGCTCTAGAAGCCGGGAGCAGAGTGGTTCTGGATTGGATCTGCTGTGTCCAGCATCAAGTTATACCCATTTGTCAGGAGCAAGGGGGTATTTTTTAAGTTATGCTGTGTATTCTGCTGCAAGGCCTGCCATCACTGAAAAATCAATAAGCTATATTGAAACAAGAATACCAATATAGGAATATATTGTTTTTTTCTTCAAAACACATTCTTCTACATTCCTCAAAATGTTGATTCTGAAGATGATTTTTTGAATCAGATCCCGAAGTAGCAAGAGGGCTACTTGTGACTCTGAAGGCAAAAATTCCACAGCTGGATTATTGAGATTCCTCTGTTCCTCAGTCTTTTCATTTGAGAACAAAGAAAATATGAAGAAAGAAATAATTCTGAATCAGCTTGATTGCAATTCAATAAGAGTTTTGAAAACTTGGTCCAAAATCACAGAGGAAGAAGCCTGCAGTGTGATGGGGTTTTGAAATTTCCATGACCTCAATATCTGCTTAATGATGCTTTTTTTTTTCTTTTTAAAATTCTTATAAAAAAGTTTGAGAACTGTTCAGCCATGCAATATCCTAGACCATGAGTGTCAGCTGTTAATTGCTGGCTTCTGGAAAATCAAGGTGTTAGAGTCATCAATTAGCTTTGTTGCTCTGAATACAGTGCAAAAGAATGCTGAACAACCACAAAGGAAGACAAACTCCCTGCAAACAAGAGTTTATCATTTAAAGATATACAATACTGTACTAGACGTGCTATCATAGTTCCCTTTTCTATGTAGTTCTACTTTTATGATTCCTTCTTTTCACTCTCCTGTGTTCCTTAACTCCTGCTATGGAGCATGAGCCCTCCCTGCATTGCCTTTGTGGACTACTAGAGCATTTACTTGGAGTGAAATATATAGCACATTTTATCAACTTGTGGGTTGTGGAAGTGATCTTCACAGCTAGATGGCAATAAAAGAATTCCGTTAGACCTCCTTCAATAAAAAATGAGAAATGCAATGTTGTGAGAGTATTAGAAGCAGCTGCCTGACTCTAATGTCAGTGAGTCTCCTTCAATTTAAATATTTGCAATAGCCATAATTAAACACTTAGTAACTGGCATTGAGTTAAAATAGAAATACATGACATAGTCTTACTGCTGGGCATATTTTAATTCTGATTTATATCCCCCTTGGCTTTGTGCCTGGAGAAGTTTTGTGATTTAAAATCTGTTTTATACAGTATAGAAATTGCCAGAGGGCAAATTATCTTCTAGGTGAGTAACAACTTTTACTTCTTCTGGAAGCAGCTCCCTAAAAAGATCAATGTTATGTTCTTCTTTTATTATTTAAAGACTGAAGAAATTTATGTCTGCAAATAGAGAGATGGTCTGCCCAGGTCACTGAATCTAGACTGACCTCTGGAGGCTTTCACATCGTCTGAACTTTCTAAACAGTTTTTTGCTCATCCTCTAAAAGTGTTGAAACTGGCAATCCTCTAACATAGTTACTGTCATGTAAGAAGACATGTTAGGAACTTGGGCTGACCATGCCTTCTGAAAAGGTGCATAATGTAAACAAATATTCCTTGAGGTTTGCCCTCATTTTTATTCTTTTGGAAAAACGAGTAGCAAACCATGGTGTAGTATACAAAACCAGAAATACAGGTCTCAACATTGTTACACAGATATTTGCCATTATGCTGTGGGAGCTCTAATGAT